AGGAATAGTTTAGCCAAGGAGAGTGGCTGCTCCAGCTCTAGGACTGAGTGTAGAGAGTGGCAGGCCCTTCAGCCTCCAGCATGGGGGAGGGGTGGGCAGCATGAGCTTTGGAAACCCAAGCCCACCTCAGCCTCTTGTCTGCCTCGAGGGCTGTTCCCACAGCACCCCTGCTCCCAGGCCAAGCCAGGGCAGTTCTTCTGTGTGTCAGTCAGTCCCTCCCTCCATCTCCTTCAGTTTGGAATAGAGGAGTGCTTGAGGACTGGGTGACTGGCCTCTGTGGACAGAAGGGGAGAGAAGGAGGGCTGTCTTCCCCAGGGTCCCTACCTGGCAGCAGCACATAGTACAGGTGATAGGCCCAGAACCCACTGCCTGCTGGGCTGGTGCCCAACTTGCACCCTCCCCTGTCTGCTCCTGCATGCTTGCTCACTTCCCCAGGCCACTTCCTAGGCCAGTCACCCCTAGCTCCATGTCCTGTCTCAGGTCTGGGTCTGGCCACACCACCCCTCCTGGGCCCAGCACACAACACACCTGGTCTGGTCTCCCTCTAGCAGGTGTCCAGCCTCCACTCTGGCATCTTCCTCTGGGCCTACTGGGCCCACAGGGCCCCCGGAACCCAGTCCCTCCTGCCCCTGCAATCCAGGGACCTGAGAGCCAGGACCTCTCCCAGGCCTCTCAGCTGTCCTGACTTTTGGCTCAGTGGCCTGCCAGGCAGCATCAGCTCTGCCAGAGAGAACAGGTGCTGTGGGCCTTCTCTGGAGGGCCCTCCCTTGGGGACTCAGGTGGCTCTCAGTGTGTTGCAGTCATCTGGACCTTCACCACCCATCCAAAGTGCCCCTGAGCTACATGGCCATTGGCAATCTGCATGGCCACTTGTGGTGGGATTCAGTGCCTCAGCGCTGTCACACACCTGCCTCCCTTATGGGGGAAACCCCACTGTACTCATTCAGGCCAGGAATCTGGATGTGTGGGTCTGCCCCTTATCCTGTCCCCTTCCAGTCACCCCCTGCCCTGTCCCCTACAGTGGTTAGGAAGAGAACACATCCTGATAAAGAGGTTGGGCTGGGGAGGCACCTGTGGCTTAGTGAGTACAGTACCGGCCCCATATACCAAAGGTGGTGGGTTCAAACCCAGCCCCCCGCCAAACTGCAACCAAAAAATAGCCAGGCATTGTGGTGGGTGTCAGTAGTCCCAGCTACTTGGGAGGCTGAGGCAAGAGAATCACCTAAGCCCAAGAGCTGGAGGTTGCTGTGAGCTGTGACACCATGGCACTCTACCATGGGTGACAAAGTGAGACTCTTTCTCTCTAAAAAAAAAGGGCGGGGGCAGCTCCTATGGCTCAAAGAGTAGGGTGCCAGTCCCATATGCCGGAGGTGGCAGGTTCAAGTGCAGCCCCAGCCAAAAACTGCAAAAAAAAAAAAATGTTGGGCTGAAGGGACCAGTAAACAACCACACTGGAGGGGCATTTCATTGGCCAGTGAAAGACCTCCAGGGGACCTGGGGCAGGCCTTCCCTTGAGAGGCACCTGGAGGACCTCTGCCCTGTGAGAGGACTTGAGAGGGGAGAAGGTGGGTGGGAGGAGTCCCCTGGGACTTCGAGATAGGTTCAAGGGTTTCTGTGCCCCTGTGTTCTCTAGGCCCAGTTGCTCTCTCTGCCAGGCAGAAGCAAAGATTGGCCTGGAGGACTCCATGGATGGCCACAGCAAAGAGGTGGTATGAGCGCTCTCCCAAATCCTGATGCCTGGCTGCTTGAGGTAGCCCTGGGGTAAGTGTACACCAGCAGCAGGTAGGGTGCAGTGTGCATGCCTGGGACTCCACCCTCTCGGGGTCATTCCCTTTCTTTCAGAGAAAGAACACAATGAAAATAAGATACCCCCAGATGCAAGTGTTTTTTTTGTTTGTTTGTTTCTTTGTTTTTGGTAGAGACAGAGTTTTACTTTATTACCCTCAGTAGAGTGCTGTGCCATCACACAGCTCACAGCAACCTCCAACTTTTGGGCTTAGGTGATTCCCTTGCCTCAGTCTCCCAAGTAGCTGGGACTACAGGTGCCCACCACAATGCCCAGCCATTTTTTTGTAGCAATTCGGCCAGGGCCAGGTTTGAACCCACCACCCTCGATGTATGGGGCCAGCGCCCTGTCCACTGAGCCACAGGCGCCGCCTCCCAGATACATGTTTTGACAGATTTTCTAGTCCTAAAATGTTGTCTTTCATGGGGGACATGTGTCTCTTAACATTTTCTTTTTTTTTTTTTTGTAGTTTTTGGCTGGGGCTGGGTTTGAAACCTCCACCTCCAGCACATGGGGTGTGAGCCCTATTCCTTTGAGCCACAGGCGCCGCCCTCTCTAGGGCATCTTTATGAACACAGCCAGCCTCTCCAGTCACCTCCCTCCACACCTGGATGGAGAAAGGAATCACAACACTCAACCCATTTCAAGATATAAAATTAATACAAAATGGGATGACCACCACAGCACAGCACACCATAGGAGCTACCCTTTGTTTTCTGGGAGGGCTATTACCTATGAGAGTTTATCATCCTGACAAGACCACCTCCTCTGGTCCAGCCTCCTCTTTCATAACATGCCAGCCACTGAAACCTATTTTACTACCACCAGCACCACTTTGGGGACCAGAATCTCAGCCTACAAGTTTTCTCTAAGGTCAAGATGGCATATCAGCTGCTGATCCCCACTGGAGGGCTGGGTCCTGCTTCCTGAGGCTCCCAGGGATACACATTCAACCACTTCAGCTGCCTTTTCTGACTTGATACAATTTGCCTTAAGCCAGAAGATTTCAGCTGGGCAGGAGGAGTGGCAGCATAGGCCAGGTACAGAGAGCCTGTTCTGGGTCATACCACATAGCAGTACGACAGCCTATTTGGGGGACCACTGTGTGTATGTCTGTGGCAGGGGGCTTGGGAACTGCGGGGGGAGGGGTTGTGTGTGAAGAAAGTAGATACCTTCTTTCTGCAGAGGTGTGTGAGGAAGTGCAGGGGCTTCCCAGGGACTCCCAGCTCAGCAGGTTCTGTGCCGCACCTGCCTGCCAAAATTCCAAGCTGAGCGGGACGCCACCAAGCCAGTGTGCTGGGTGGGCACAAGCAGCACTGCATGGAGGGCCAGTTTCCCATGGAGGAGGGTGGCCGCTGCAGTTCCAGGACAAAGGTGGGCAGAGAGTGGCAGGGCCTCCATCCATGGCCGTCTGCACTGGGGGAGGTGGGGTGAGGGGTGGCAATAACTTAGGAGACTCAGAGCCTCCCCTATTAGCTTCTGCCATTCTGCCTCCCTGCCTCCGATGAGCTTCCGGCCCTCGCCCCGCCCCTGCCCACAGTCCCTGGCAGTCCCTCTGTGTGTCAGTCATTCAGTCCTTCCATCCTCTTCAGTCTTTGGAGCAGAATGCTTGGGAGCCGGTGAGCACAGGTTGCAGTGGCCTGGGCCGACAGCAGGAGAGAAAAGAGCTGTCTCCCCCAGGGCAGCTGCTCCTTGGCAGCAGGCGGTGTGGGTGGCAGGCCCAGACCCTGCAGGTTCCTTTAGGGGCTGGGCCTCCTGGGCCACAGGTTGGAAATCTCTCAATACTAGACCTTAGGGAGCAGTGCCTGTGGCTTAGCGAGTAGGGCGCCGGCCCCATATGCCAAGAGTGGCGGGTTCGAACCCAGTCCGGGTCAAACTGCAACAACAAAAATAGCTGGGCGTGGCTCGGCGCCTATAGCTCAACCGGCTAAGGCGCCAGCCACGTACACCTAAGGTGGTGGG